TGTGAGGGGTTATCACCCATGGGGCCTCAAGAAAAACCAAACTCACTGCCACCGAGTCGCATAGCAACGATCCCTCCTTGGGTTTCTGAGGCAGTATCACTATGGAAATAGGTTGCCCAATGTGCCTTCTGAGGAGTTTTTGGTGGGTTTGAACCGCCAGCCCTCTGGTTAGCAGTGAAATGCCTTAGGCACTGCAGATCCCAGGAAATTCACACTCACATATAAGCTTTTCCTCCAGTGCAGGCCTGAAGGAAGGGAACAGCAGCAGCTATGGGCACAGTGAAGACCCGCTGTGACTGAGGGAGGGAAACGGGGGGAAAAAAACCCTCTGTTCCTGGGGGAGGGAAAAGAATAAGTCCTGGGCCCAGTTCATCTCCTGGAGAGTGGGCCAGAATCCCCACCCTCACTCCCAAATGAAGAGACACAGGGCTGGTGTAAGCGTGGGGCTGAATGATGAACACCTGCAGCACCACCAGCACCACCACCACCAGCACCACAAGCACCACCACCGGCACCGGCACCAGCACCACCACCACCACCAGCACCACCACCACCAGCACCACCAGCACCAGCACCGGCACCGGCACCACCAGCACCACCACCAGCACCACCAGCACCACCACCGGCACTGGCCCCGGCCCCAAGCAATAAGTAACAGCACTTCACAGCTGCAGGAGGGTCGAGAGTGTGGAAGGAAACCTTGTCTGTGGTGCAGGAGCGAAGAGAAGGCCTAAAGCTGAGGGCAGGACACAGACTTGGAAAAACCCTTGTGCAAAGCAGCCCCACCAACACAAGGAATGCTCCCACCCACTACCATCTAGTTGATTCCAACTCATAGTGACCCTACTGGACAGAGTAGAACTGCCCCATTGCATTTCCAAGGCTGTAAATCTTTACAGAAGCTGATCACCTCCTATTTCTCCCACAGAGCAGCTAGTGGGTTTAAACCACCAACCTTTTGGTTAGCAGCCAAATGCTTGGAACTACTACAATTCCAGAGCTCCTTCAAGTCATGCTACAGGGATTTAAAGCCTCACTGAGGGCTACCACTGCAGCAACTAAACCCAAATCCAGCCTAATTCCTGACTAGATTGATCCAAGTTCCCTACACTACGAGCCAGGAAAAGCCGGGGGTACCAATTTTCAGCCATATGTATTGATTACATCAGTCTCCAACAACAAAAAATGCAACGCACTGCCGTCGAGTCAGATCCAACTCATAGTGACCCCTTCTTGGGTTGCCAAGGCAGTTTCACTACGGAAGTAGATTGCCCAACCTTCCTTTCGAAGAGTGGCTGGTGGATTTGAACCGCCAGCCTTCTGGTTAGCAGTAAAATGTCTTAGACACTGCACCACCAGAGCTCCTAAATCAGTCTCTACTGACCCACAAAAGACACTGCTTTTAGCACAGATTATGAAACATGCTAACAACAACAACAAAACAAGAGAAACAACACATGGTCAAAAGTCAATGAATATATGACATAGATATTGGAACCATAGGACAAGGGAATTGAAAATCATCATCATTACGTTAAAATCTCAAGCAGAAAGGGTGAACACACACATGGCCAACAGAGCAATTTCAGTAAAGACATGGAAAGTGCAATAAAGAACCACATGGAAATACCAGAAATGACAAACACGGCGACAGATAAAGAACGCTTCCCAGAGGTTCATCAGTGGGCTCAGCACAGCCAAGGAGAGAATTAGTGAAGTTGGAAAGAGACAGATAAAAATTATGTAAACTGAAACACAAAGAGAAATGAGAATGAAAAACAAAAATGAAAACAACATAACATCCAAGAGGGCTTGGTCAATATCAAATGGCCTAACATTATACGACTGGAATCCTAGAAGGAAACAAGAAAAAGGGGCAGAAGAAATATTTGAAGAAGTAATGGCCGAGAATTTTCCAAAATTAATGCCAGGCACTTATCCAAAGAGCTCAAAGAACACCAAGCAAGATAACTACGTCTCCTGTGATAACTCCCCGCCTCAAAACATCAAAGGTCAGAGACTATCTTGACAACAGACAAAGGGGGGGGGAAGGACATGTTACGTGGAGAAGACAAAGGTAAGAAATACAGCAGCTTCTTGTTAGAAAAGATGCAAACCAGAAGACAAAAGAGCAGCCTATTTAAAATGCAAGAAAGCGTCTGTCCACCCAGAATGCAACACCCAGTGAGTATATTGTTAAAACTGAAGGAAGAATGAAGACTTTTTCAGGTCAACAAAAAATGAGAGAATTCATCATCAGTGTTCCTCTGCTACAAATAAGTTCTTCAGGCATGTTGTTATTAGGAGCTCTGGTAGCATAGTGCCTAAGGCACTTGACTGCTAACCAGAAGGCTGGCAGTTCAAACCCACCAGCCACTCCTCAGAAGGAAGGTTGGGCAATCTACTTCCGTAGTGAAACTGCCTCGGAAACCCAAGGAGGGGTCGCTATGAGTCGGGGCCGACTCGACGGCACACAAAACAACAGTGAGGCTGTGGGCTGCTGGACCTCTGTACACTGCTGGTGGGAATGCAAAACGCCACAGCCACTCTGGAAAACAGCCTGGCAGTGTCTTATAAAGTTAAGCTTCTAAGCCCAGCAACCCCACTCCTAGGTCTTAATCCAAAGGTCAACAATCCCTCTAAAGCAAAGAGAAGACAATGAGGGGCAGGGAAAGCAGAGAACTGGAGATGGAACAACCAGACGGCAGTTAGAGAGTGCTGACCCGTCATGAAGAATTCACTAATGCCACTCAACAACCTGTGCAGAAACTGGCAAATGGGAACCTTATCTTCTATGCAAACTTTCACCAAATACACAACATTATTTAAAAAAAAAAGGGAGGGGGGTGGTGGGAGAGTGACACATTCCTGGCCTTGTCCACTGCTAACCCTGGACTCTCCAGGGAAGATCCACGTGTACATGTTTTTTCAAAGGTCCACAGGTGATTCTGATGTGCTTCCTGATTCAGAAACACATACGTAAAATGCAAAGACTATTCTTGAAATCCCTTACTAGACTTAGAAAGGCCTCCATGTCATATTACCGGTGATCTTACTCTCAGTGTCACTGTTTACAGCCCCACAGTCTCACTGCTCATACCTGTCTGAAGAGCCCGTGGTTTTCAGAATTGTATCAGTGTCCTTGATAGCCTCCTTTCTCCAATAGGAGTCTGAATTGTCATCCCAGGTGGAAAAAGAACCGCTCCGTAACTCCACCGGCTCATCAAAGTACCTGCATGGGAAAGAGGAGCTGGTGACAGTGGCGGGCTTCCAGGTCACCCCCATCGGTCCTCCTCCACTTCCTGAACTCAGGGCTGGCCAGGAGACTGGAACTGGCCAGCAAAACAGGAGCAGACACAAGGTGCGCCATTTCCAAAGCCTTTAAAGCACCGGTCCTCAACCCGTCTGGCTGAGGGACAAACAAAAATGAAAGCAGAACATAACATCCAAGGGTGACTGGTCAGTATTGATCACTGGGCATGGGCCGTGTGGGACCGGTCACGTTTTCCACGTGGTGCAGCCTCGGGCAGGTTAACCCTCCAGCAGCCTGGGCAACCAAGATGCCCCACAGAGGACAGGTGTGTGGACAACCCACCCCCAGCAGACTTCACACACGCGAGACAAACCACTGTCGAGTGAAACCCTGGAATTTTGGGGGGATGTTTATTATTGCAGCATAATCTAGCCTATCTGGGCAACACATGACATTGTCATGAGCTAAGTGACATAAACTTACATATTCCATTTTCTAATTCTACTTCCACCAAATTGTTGTGTGTTGTCAAGTCGATTCCGACTCATAGTGACCCTATATGAAAGAGTAGAGATGTCCCGTAGGGCTTTCTGGGCAGTCACAAATAATGCGGCTGGCCCGGGAGGGCTGACCCTCTTGAGGAGCTTCCTGCTGGCATCTGTTCCATGTTAAGCATGGCACAAGGCACCAATCATACCGCTAACCACCACTGAGAGTCCGTGACGCTCATTAACCTCCGTGTGGAGTCAGACACAGAGCTACAGATGATGATCACAGAGCCATTCTGTACCTGTTCCTTCCGTCTGGAGCCTGAAGTCAACTTGACTCCATCTGTGAATGTCTCAGAGGGGGTGCTGGCCTGAGGGTGGGTGCACCCTTCATTAGCTGAGCATCCCTGAGCAGGGAGTGACCCAGACAGCGGAAGTCAACGGCCGCTTCCAGGCCTGCCCGGTTAGAGAAGAACCCTTGACCGAGCGTAGCAAGGTCTCCTGGGTGGAGGGCAGAGACTGGGTAGGGGGCTGGAAGTGCCAGGAGCCTTAATAAGAAACAAGCGGCTGTCTGAGAGCTCACGACGTCTCAGGGTGGAAGCCAGCAGCCTCTCTAGAAAGGCAGGGGTCAAGCTCAGGGGTGAGAGGCAGATCCCGGAGTCTGAGCGCGAGGGCAGGAAGCTAACTGCAGAGAGCCGAGATGCGTCAAGTCCAGCCAGGCTTTCTCCAGAGCAACACACAGGAGCACCGAGGGGCCTCGCTCCCGGAGTCACATGGTAGAGAGGACACTCGGGAGTGACAGGGCCTGTGGCCAAAGACGACCGTGAGAGGGCATCAGGAGCCTGGCACGCCCCACCTGCCAAGGCCCAAATGAGCTGAGGTTTGGGAAAGAAAACCTTAAGAACCAATCCATCGCCTGGCCGTCCCCCATCAGAAACAAAAGGGGGCAGGCAGCGGGACAAACTGCTGTTTGAAGCAGAGGAGGTGATTCTATATGGACGACAGAGGGAAGGCAGAATGTCTAAATGCAGCTTCCGCCTTTTCCAGCAAGAAGTCATTAAGACGAGCCTTTCCCCAGGAAGGGAACTATGGGTTTCAGCAAGAAGCTGACTGGGCCAGGCACACGCTGATGAACAGGTCAGTGCTGCACACGGGCTCTGCCTGAAGAACAGGGACAACTGGGCCCTGTTCAGAGAAGAGAGATTGGGACGATGAAGGGACTTGAGGTCACATCAGAGCAGGAAGGTTTGAAAGATGAGACATTCAGAGGAATTTTAGAAACACTTAATAAGCACACGTTAGCCAGGCCCTGCCCCTGGAGCCTGCACCAAAGGGAGGCTGCCTGGAGCCCAGAAACTCAGGAGGCGGCCAGGCCCGAGCCGGCGTTACCTCCTAGAGCTGCCAGGGACTGTGCAGGCTGCCCGCTGAGGAGGAGGGGTGCAAGCAGAAACTGGGGCCCACTTGGGGGGGGGGTCAAGCACGGGATGTGCAGGTTGGACTTTCAAGTTCCTTTCAGTTCTGAGATCCTGGGACTTAGAACTCTGTAGGTTTAGCATCATCCCAAGGAGCCGTGGGTGACAAGATGGTTAAGTGCTCATCTGCTAACAGAAAGGTCTATGGTTCAAACCCACCAACAGCCAAACAGAAGAAAAAGACTGACAACCTGTTCCCGTGATAATTACGGTCTGGGAAAGCCTACGGGGCAGGTCTACTCTGTCCTAGAGGTCACTATGCGTCAGAATTGACTTGACGGCACACACAGCCACCAGTGTACTCCCAGGGAGGACCATGCTTCATTCGCACACGTCAATGTGCTTATCCTGAAAGCGGGGGCATCAGGTATTTTAAAAAGCTCAGCTCTTCCACATCCCGAGGGAGACAGCGAGCTGGCCTGCCTGCTTCCCCTGAGCAGCACGTGTCTGTCACGGAGCACTCCAGGCACTCTGCAGGTGTCTCTGCTATGACAGGCTCTCAGCCACTCGCTGGGAGACAGACAGATGCCCCTTGGAAGGACAGGGTGAAGGTGACTAATAGCTGGGGCACACTTGCTTCTCGGAGGACACACAGCCTTCCTTGACCTCCAAACCTTTGTTGTTGTCGTCGTTAGGTGCCACTGAGTTGGTTCCAATTCACAGTGACCCCATGTACAACAGAACGAAACACTGCCAGTCCTACGCCAGCCTCACAGTCCCTGCTACGCCTGAGCCCATCGTTGCAGCCACTGTGTCAGTCCATCTCGTTGAGGGCCTTCCCCTTTCCCACTGACCCTCCACTTTACCAAGCATGACATCCTTCTCTAGGGACTGGTCCCTTCTGACAAAATGGCCAAAGTAGGGAAGACGAAGTCTGGCCATTCTTGCTTCTAAGGAGCATTCCGGCTGCACTCCTTCCAGGACAGATTTCCTCATTTTTCTGGCAGTCCATGGTATCTTCGCCAACACCATAATTCAAAGGCATCAACTCTTTTTCTGTCTTCCTTGTTCACTGTCCAGTGTTCATATGCATGTGAGATGACTGGAAATACCATGGCTTAAGTCAGGCGCACCTTATTCTTCAAAGAGACGTCTTTGCTCTTAAACACTTTAAACAGGTCTTTTGCAACAGATCTGCTCAGTGCAAAATGACGCCTGATTTCCTGACTGCAGCTTCCACTGGTGTTGACTGTGGATCCCAGTAAAATGAAATCCCCGATGACTTCAACCTTCTCTCCATTTATCATGATGCTCCGTATTGGTCTGGTTGTGAGGAGTTTCATTTTCTTTGTGTGGAGGTGTCATCCATACTGCAGCTTGTAGTCTTTAATCTTCATCAGTAAGTGCTTCAAGTAGTCCTCACTTTCAGCAAGCAAGGCTATGTCACCTGTGTATCGCGGGTTGTTAACAAGCCTGCCTCCAATCCTGATGCCACGTTCTTCTTCATAGAGTCCAGCTTCTGGGATTATTTGCTCAGCATACAGATTAAGTAAGTATGAGGAAAGGATACAACCCTGACGCACTCCCTTCTTGATTTTAAACCATGCGGTATCCCTTTGTTCTGTTCGAACGACAGCCTCCTTGTCTCTGTACAGGTTCCTTATGAGTACAGGTAAGTGTTCTGGAATTCCCATTCTTCTAAATGTTATCCACAATTTGAAACCCCGATTTGATGTCAGTGAGTTTGGGTACTTTTTAGTTTTAATGGCTTGATTCCCAGACCCCGGTTGGCAACACTTCTGACGTTTCCTCTTTGCCCCCCATGCCCACCCCGTCTTTACCAACTCTGAAAACATTCCTTAAAATCCCGTGACAGGAGCACCTTGCAGTCAGGCTCCATCTGACTGGCAGCCATAGCCATGTGCCTCTTCTGTTGAAGCCCACACTACCTTCCCAAGGCCAGGCAGATCGCCCGCCTTCCTTATTCCATATTCCGGAAACAATGGAGCTCAATAATAACAATCACAAAAACAGAAACCAAGGACAGGGTTGATCTTCCTGTTAACAGAAACAGCAAATACTCCTTCATAATTCATAGTATCCAAGTTCTAATGGGCTCATGAATAATTTGGAGGCAGTAAAAGCCTTCATGGAACTCAGCTACTTGCTGGCAGAAAGTCTTTGCTTACTTTTCCTCAGTTACCAAAGGACCCGATGGCACCATGTTCTGTTCACTGTGGCCACCTTACCGCGAGGGACAAGACAGGCATCCATGGTCCTGCTGGTCACCCACAGGCCATGAGAAGGTGTCTCTGGTGTGTAGTTGACACAAAAACACCATCTGCTCCCAGGCCCCAAATCATAACTCACTGTTTCGTAGCAACAAGAGCCTTGGGGGCGAACTCTCCACTAACCCTTTGACTAAGGAGAAGCCTAAAGGGTCCTGTAGGTTCCTGTGGGCAGAGAAGGCTCCAGGAGAGTCGGGCTGTGACCCGGAGCCAGGGCAGCCCTCCAGAAGGCTGTCGGGGTCCATTCATGGGGTGACTTCCCCTCTCAGGAGCCAGGGCGGCCCTCCAGAAGGCTCGGGGTCCATTCAGGGGGTGACTTCCCCTTTCAGGAGCCAGGGCGGCCCTCCAGAAGGCTGTCGGGGCCCATTCATGGGGTGACTTCCCCCTTTCAGGAGCCAGGGCGGCCCTCCAGAAGGCTGTTGGGGTCCATTCAGGGGGTGACTTCCCCTCTCAGGAGCCAGGGCGGCCCTCCAGAAGGCTGTTGGGGCCCATTCAGGGGGTGACTTCGCCTTTCAGCTGTTTCTCTTCCCAACCCTGTTACCCAGCTATAGCACTGACTTGACTTGAAATTTATTCTCTCTGCCTTCCTATGGTACCGTCTGCAGGGGTGCAAAGGAGCAACGGATGTTCATATAAGCCTTGGGGAGGACAGACAGATGGCTGGAGAACCAGTGTTACCCAGAGTTCCCTCTGACCCTCATCTAAAGTGTATATTGAAATAGTTTGACATGCCTGCTGTTTTCAAATCAAATTCAAAGTGAATTTTATCCTGTGTAAAATGTATTTCCTTTAAATACTTCATAAAGGAACAAGTTGGGTAGAACTTGTAAGTACAGAGAAGTCTGGTACCTGATAAAGGTTACCCAATACTCCACAGAGGTAACATCAAACCATCCAAGGCCCTGAAAGCACTGGAATGGAACACCACAGGCCACCAAAATTCTTTCCGTTTGTCAAACACCTGGAGCTATGCTTAGATAGAAGGAGCCCTAGTGGTTAAGTGCTTGGCTGCTAACCAAAAGGCTGGCAGTTCAAACCCACCAGCAGCTACACAGCAGAAAAGACCTGGTGATCTGCCCCCATAAAGAATATGGCCTAGGAAACCCTAGGAGCAATTCTGCCCCACCCCACGGGGCTGCTATGTGCCAGAATCAACTCAACAACAACACACCAACAACATGCTTAGACAATTTTTTAAGGATAGTGTTTGTTACACTTCTCCGTGAACTTGGATGTAAAAATGTACAATCTCACAATTAGATTCTAGTTAACAGTTAACAGGTATGCGCATACAACTGTTAGATAAGGCAAGTTTTTTATTTGTTCATTTCTTGCATTTGAAATATTCTTCAGTGACATCCTGGCCTGAGAGTCTTTGTCACAGTCCTTAATCGCCACACAACTGCAGCCAAGCACACTTCAAGAAGTTCTCCTCTCTCTGTGAGTCTTACATCCCTAGCTTCTTGTCACCAACTTTAACGCAGTAGATCTGGTGTCTGGCACAAAGGGCCTCCCCTAACTTGACAAACACAGGCTCGTCACAGTTGGGAGCAAGCACACAAAGATGGGCTGGGTGCTGGTCCAAGGCTGTGGCAGCTCCATGAATCCCACATGTGAGGCCATTGTGGATGAGCGTGGTCTTCAGGTCCCTGGTAAAGCAGGATGAACGTCCACTACGCCTCCCGTACCAATGCCTTCCTCGGCCAGGGCGATGGGTTACGGGTCGGGCGGAAGTTTGAATGCATCCAGGCCTCCACACTTGGCGGCAACAGGGCCATTTTAAAAGAAAACGCCTTGAGTCTGTGCAGTTGCCAGTCAGCTCTAGTGCCCTCCGAGATGTGCGTGATGGGCCCGCTGTAAGCACTGCCTACGCTCAGCTCACACTCATTTCATTTTCACAAACCCCACCATGACGGTGGGCTTCAGTGTTCTCAATCAATTACCTAACAGTAGCCATCAAACATTTAGACTGAGCCACACAGTCCCCTGGATTGCATTTCCATGTTATCATGCAGCTGATAAAAGAAGAATGACGCTGGTGGTGGCTGTGGTCAAGTGATTCCAGCTCACAGTGACCTCCGGGAGCAGAACGGGCCTGCCCGGCCTGCTCCACCTCGTGACCTTGGTATGCCTGAGCCCGCAGCTGAGGCTCCGTGGTAAGCCACCTCACGGAGGGCCTCACTCACATGGGCCCTCTACGTTTCCAGACAAGCACCTGGTCCCTCCAGGAATGCGTCCAAAGTCAGTGAGCTGAGGTCTCGCCAGCCTCGCTTCCAAGGAGCATTGCGGCTGCGTTACCTCTATGGCTGTGCACTCTCCCGACTGTCCACGGTCTCTTTGGTGTTCTTCCCCCAAACCCTAACTCTTTTCTTTCCATCATCCAGCTTCCTGTGCGTATGGGGCAACTGGAAACACCCCGGCTGGGTCAGGTCCCCTTCGTCTTCACAGTGACATCTCTGCTCTTTAACACTGTAAAGAGGTCTTTTACCCAGATTTGCCCAATGGAATCATATCCTTTGATAGCCTGATTGCTGCTTTCACGGCTGCTAAGTGTGGATCCAAGTAAAATGAAATCTTAGACAACTTCAAACCTTTTCTCCATTGATCAGAATGTCGTCGATTGGTCCAGTTGTGAGGATTTTCGTTTTCTTTATGTTGAGGTATAATCCACACTGAAGCACTTCAGGTCCCCCTCACTTTCAGCAGGCCAGGCTGCGTCATCTGCGTATCGCAGGTCGTTAATGAGTCTTCCTCCGACCCTGACGCTGCGTTCTTCTTCATATGGTCTGGTTTCTCGGATTATTTGCCAGCATACAGATGACTGAATAAATATGGTGAAAGGATAATACCCTGTGCTTGAACAATTTCTCTTAGAAAGATCAGCACAAGGCTGGTCCCCATGAGGCGGAGGTCAAAGATGTCCCAAATGTCCAAACTACCGTGCCACTCCATCATCTCAGACATTAACCCCTCCTCCTCCCAGTAATTTCCCCAGTCTTAGGGTTCTGAATTTCGCTGTAACGCCTCACAGAACTCACAGACACCCAAGGGTTCGTCTCACGTAGTAGTAGTGGTGGAGGCTGGCAGGCTGGCGAGTCCCAGGTCCGTGAGTAGGTCTGGCGGATCCTCCCAACTCTCAGGGTTAGATGAACCTTGATCAGCAGATCAGACGGCGGCTGCTGTCCCAAATCCAGGGGTGAGATGACGATGAGCCAAGAATCAAAGCCAGAGCAAGAGGCGAGCGAATCTTCCCAGGAGATTCGTTAGGTAAAACCCTCAGGGAAGCTAAGGGTGGCAATTTTTTTTTATACCCTCCAGCAAGGCAGGACTCAAGATACATTCCACTTGTGTTGTCCCAACAGAATTAACCTAAATCCCATCACAGAGTCGATTGCCAGTCGTTATAGGGAATGACTACTACCAGCTGCCCAGCCAAGCTGATACCTGACCTTAACTACCACACCACCCCAAACAGGCATGGATAATGGGATTTACAAAACACCACAGAATGGAGGACAATGGCTAGAAGGGCCACATCAAGCAATTCATTGCACCCTGCCCCGCACTTTTTCCAATCCTAAACCATACGGTATCCCCCTTGTTCAGTTTGAACAACTGCCTCTTGATCCGTGTACAGATGAGGAAGCTGCAGCACAGAGGGGTTAAGTAATTTGCCTAAGGTCACACAGCCAGTAAGTAGCAGAGCTGGGATCCATATGCAGGCCTCCTGGCTCCTGGGTCTATGCTCCTGTTTCCTCCGTCCTCAGCTGGTGCCCAGCCACAGTGAAATCCCAGGTTTCCTTGGGACCTTTTTTCTTAATTATTTTTTTACACTGAGGTTTGGTGAAAGTTTACAGAGTGGATTAGTTTTCCACCCAACAGTTTGTTCCCATTTTACCTGTGACGTCAGCTGTCCTTCCCTCAGCGTGATAGCAGCACTCCTCCCACTTCCTCCCTAGGGTCCCCGTTTCAGTCTGTCCCACTTTCCTGCTTCGGGGCTTTGTTTTGGGGCGAACGCTGCACCCTTCCACTTGGTGCCCTTTCAGCAGGCCCTCCCCTGTGCTGACCCCCACCGAGCACGCTGACTCAAGGTGAGACTCATCACCCTGTCTCTGCACGGAACCAGGGCCCTCTCCAGGGCGTGTCCAAGGACACAGGCCGGGCTTCATCCTGGGACCCCCTCGAAGTGCAAAGCGCTCCCCATTCAGAAACGCGAACACCAGCCGAGTTTAACACTCTCCCTGCCGACGGGGAGCTCTTGAAGCTGGCTTCTGAAACCAAGAACCTGCCGAAGCCCTAAGGTTCAGCAGGGAGATATTCCAACTGCTGGCTGACGCCTCAATAAAATTAAACAACCTAACACGGGCCTCTGGGGCTTGGCATTGCTCTCCAATTTCACATTTCAGATAAACACATCTCTCCTACTTCTAATTTCAACTCTTGGTTGTTGATTTTATTATGAAACATATAACATTACCAAACATTATCTACTTACAAACATTTCCCCAATTTCATTCTAAAGGACAGCCTTGGCTCCAGCCAGAGCTTTTAAAAACGATGAAATAAAATTGATTTGTGCCTGCTCCTGATGCAGATCAAACGGTCAGCCCGTAGCAGCCACTGCTTTTCAAAAGGACACTTGAAGGACGGTTTTAACTGGTCACCTGGGCCTGGCCGTAAAATAGGGGTCATCACTGTCTTCGCCATATGTTTTTTCTTACCTGGGCCCGGCCGTAAAATAGGAGTCATCACTGTCTTCACCATACTTTTTTCTTGGTTTTGCCACAACGGGCGTCTCCTGTTCTATGGTTTGCATGTCGGAAGTCACGGAATGGGAAATGCCACTGGAGAAAACAGAGGGTAAACATAGTTGGTACAGACGTGTGCTTTTGCCCAAGAACACACCTTCTAATCCATATGCTGACCAAAAAGAAATAAGTGCAGTTAAAACATAAGCAATAAAAACAATCCTTTTTGGGAGGTGTAAGTCTTTAAAAATATTAAACCAGTGAAGGTTGTTAACTAATTGCACACACGGTCAACATACATGGGGATATCTGTGACCAGTGTACACAGGGACGTCTGTGGCCAATGTACACAGGGATGTCTGTGGCTGACATATATGAGGACGTCCGTGCTGACATCCACAGGCATGTCCGTGCCGACATCCACAGGCACGTCCGTGGCCGACATCCACAGGCACGTCCATGCCGACATCCACAGGCACGTCCGTGCCGACATCCAATCCACAGGCACGTCTGTGCCGACATCCACAGGCACGTCCGTGGCCGACATCCACAGGCATGTCTGTGCCGACATCCACAGGCATGTCTGTGGCTGACACATATGAAGCCATCTGTGCCGACATCCACAGGCGTGTCCGTGCCGACATCCACAGGCATGTCCATGGTATCTACTCCAGTGCATGCCTACCAATGACTCAGACCAGTGCTTTCTTTCCTGAGAGCCGAGTTTGGAAATTTTCATGCTCTGTTAAATACTGTAGTCAAGTAACACAATTAAAGAAGGCAAGGAATAACAGAAAATAGTTCCAAAGTAGAAATTAACATGGCCCAAGGAAAACACAGTTATGATTTGCGAACAGGTTCAAACCCTGGAACCCAGAGGGTACCACCGCACATACCTTCTGCAGTTTCCAAACCCCATGCCAAGTCTCTCTGATTCCACTTTTTTTTTGCCGCTGATGTTCATTTTTTCATCTTTCTTCCTCTGTATTTCAAGGTCCTTGTAGGCTAATCGTAACGATGACACACTGAGGGACAGACCACATGATCCTTAATTTAGCTTTAACCCTGGGTTCTTCAATTAAAATACAAAGCAAAATGAAACATGTAACTTATACTTTTGGCTTCATGTTCCTTGCCATAATTCACAATTAGAAAGGCAAGCTGGCATCTTTTTTTATTACTCATCTTTTGGGAGTAGATGCTCAAGGCAGCTGGAATGAGCTCACAGCTAGGTTTTGGTTGCTGCTGAACCCACATCACTGAATTGTTCAGTTCCTATTTTCCCTGATCACACAACCACAGTTTATGTTACCTACTAGCAGATAATAATATAACATATACCTAATTATTTCTATGTATGGCAGTGACAATCAGGCTGTCACTAACTATGCATTAGCATGTTCTTACACCACATGTGACATGTCAAAAGTGCAAGGCTGGCCCCACTGGTTCACCCTGATGAAGACAACAACATAAATAAATGTGGGAGCTCTGCTAGCGTAGCGGCTAAGGCACTTGACTACTAACCAGAAGGCTGGTGGTTCAAACCCAACAGCCACTCCTCGGAAGGAAGGCTGGGCAATCTACTTCCACAGTGATACCACCTCAGAAACCCAAGGAGGAGTCGCTAAGAGTCGGGTCTGACTTGATGGCAAATAACAACACAACAACAACACACCACACGTGACATGTCAAAAGTGCAAGGCCGGCCCGACTGGTTCGCCCTGATGAAGACAGCAACATAAATGTGAGTTTACATCTTTATGATAAGTTTGCAGACAAATGAAGGATGGTTATGAAGTTTCAAGAGATCTTCAGTTTACGGAGCCCTCCCCTCAGTCTCTTTAGGTAAGCAGCCTTCCCAGAGCGTCTGAAACCAGACAGTACTCATCAGCCCCACCAGCCAGTCACTGAGCACCTGTGTATCCAACACCTATTTTGAATAAAACACCAAAAGTGTAAAAGGATATGTGAGACCTTGGCCTGACTTCCAGATTTCCAAACGATGCAGTAAATGCTTCATTTTCCATGAAGAAAACGATACCTGCAGAGTGATGAGGGCAGCACTGTGCCACCTGAGTCAGTACCGAAATTTCAGAGCCTGACAAGTGATGCTGTGGTTGGCAGGTGCCAGCGAGTCACTCCGCCTCACAGTGAGCCCACGCGCAACAGAGCGAAACCCTGCCCGACCTGCTGTGCTGGGGCCGTCGCTGCAGCCACCCGTCATCCGCCTCGTTGAGGGTCCTCCCCTTTCTCACCGCCCCTCCCCTTTGCGCGACATCCTTCTCCGAACAAAAAAGTGATGCACCTACCTTAGGAGGGTTTCCAAGTTATGACTGATTTTATAACATTCTGTAAAATATCACAAATCCACCCTAAGAAAGGTGCAGTATCAATTCCTTAAGGACGTGAGTGAATTGGCATCCCCGCAGGAATGCCAGCAGAATGCCTCCGCAGGAAAACGCCCTGTGGCTTTCCCTGCTCCCTCCTGCAGCGAGTCCAGGAGGATTTCTGGGACTGTTTCTTGGGGCAGCTTCTATCTTTACCATTATTCCCAGAGAACAGGCTACGGCAGGAGGCCCATGTTATCTCCCGCAAACACACACATCTCCTCGTGGAGGAAACCACACGTGAGCTCCATCATCAGGAGCTCCGACCGGAGAAGCCGAGCTCTGTCACACAGACACGAGAGGGGGCCCCTGGACTGCTGACACGGGACGGGGCCCTCGCTCGCTGACAGCGCGCACTGTGGCAGCCAGGCTTGCTGCAGCGCCGCTCGGGAGCCCCGAGAGCGCTGAAAAGCCCGAAGCCAGCGTCCTGCACTCAGGAGGCCCTCCCTGGCCAGGCCCGAGGGAAGGTGTCGGACGCTCGAGCACACAGCAGAGCCCGGCCGGCGCCCCAAGCAGAGAGCAGGCGGCAGCGGCCTCGTCCTTCTCTTCTGACCGTCAGACACACAGCCGGCCCCGGAGCACGGCTGAGACTGCCACAAGGGACGGCTCAGGGCACTGCGTGGAGGGCTTCATGCCACTGTCTGATGGTACAAGAACCAACACCACTGAACTGAAACGTTATTTATTTACTGCTGTGACAAGAACGAGCCTGCAGAAAATCGCTCTCACACCTTAAGGATAACAAAATACGCAGCTTCTCCTGGTCGTCACAACTCTGGCTGGATGGCTGGGCTGAGGTGGGTATGAGGCGCAGTGACAGGAATTAAGACATAGTGGGGATGTTGTTCTCACCAAGAGAAAAAGCCTGAGAGAGCTGCCAACTCGGGTTTCAAGTCAAGGTCACTAAACCCCTGCTTGGCTCATCCCCACCTTTCCAATGGACCCGTCAGCTCCAGTGAAAGGCAGACCCAGGCGGATGTTGCTTCAGCTCGGAATCAGCTGAGTCCTCTGTTTCCATCCCCCACCCCCATCGCCTGCAGGCAGGAAACCCGCAGGTGCAACGGCTGCTTCCCACGGCCCACCTCCTCTGTCTTCATCCGGTATCTGATTTTACTCGCATCCTGGGAAAACTCAAGCTAACAGTCACCTCGAGATACCCTGGCCTCCACCAGCACCACCTCCAGCGTGAGCCGTCTGGACCGAGCCACCACCAACTCCGAGAGAAGCCACCCAAACCCCCCTTCCACTGGTCCTTTTTCCCGGGCTGAAAATGTGGTCCTAGTGAGAGAACACAAAGCCACGTCCCTGACAAAGTCCACTTGACAGAGAGCGTACTGAACCTGAGCACAGTGCCATGCTGCCCCCTGCGTCCTGTGAGGTGAAGGACAAGGAGAAGTATCAACTTCAGGCCATCAGGGGGACCTTAGGAATTCCACTGAGCAAAGTGCCAGACTGAACAGGAAGAGATGACAGTGACCGACGCTGTAAGTGCCAGGGGTTGTCCGAGGGGCTTCAGCGAGCGTCAGCCATGTGCATCCTCAAAACCAGCCCCAAAACAGGCATCACCATTCCCTCCTCCTCACAGTCTGTAGTCACTCAAACGAAAACTACGATCACACACACTTGTGAATAAGAGAAGACTCCATCTAAGTGAAATAAACACACGCGTGCGGGAAGCCACACTGTCCGTCGTCGCTCTGGGTGGCACGCGCCCTCCTGTCTTCCCTCCGCCCGAGCTCTGACATGCAGTCACATGCGGTCTCCAGACCACCACAGCCCGTTTCCATCACAAACAAAAACGTCTCACGAGCCTTAAACGTCATTATTCCGTATCTGGGAATCGACCTACTTACTGAATGTGTGTAACCCCCAAACCGACGTCAGGTGCCTCGTGGTCACCCAGACATGGGCAGAGTGCAGAGCACTCTGGGTCATCCGTCGCACCCGGTCCCTGCCCAGCGGACGCTCTCTTCTGGGCCAGCTCGCCCGCTGTAAACAGCATCCTTCCCGCCCACCCCGGTCAACTGAGTGCCACGTTTCTGCATTTTCGTGCTTTGTCTGGGGATTTGGTCGTTTAAAATGGCCCAACGTAGTGCTGAGGTGCTGAGTCGTGTCCTTAAGCCCAAGGCTGTGCTGGGCCTCACGGAAGACGTGAGATGTACAAGCTCCGTCCAGGCACTGGCAACAGGGCTGTGGGCAGTGATCTGATGTGGATGAAATCAACAGTATGTGTTAAATAAGGTCTTTAAACCCACACGAAACAAGGCTATGCACTGATGGGTTAATGAAACGGCTGTGCCCAGAGGCTCACGGGAACCTAAGCCTGTATTTCCCACGGGAACAATGAGTTCGTCTCCATGGTGCCTTCACAGGGCATGGTTACCAAGAATACTGAGACGTGACTGCATATAAAACCAGTCTCTTACCTGGCCTCCTGGGTCCCAGTTTCTCTCCATCCCTTCTGCCCTGGATCTCACTACTGGACTCATTTCCAACAAACCCTTTCATCATGGCACTCCCTACGGAACTCGACCAGCTTCCCAGGTCAAACGTGAAAACACCCAGCCTGACTTGAAGGACCACCATGTCATTCCAGTCCCTGATCCAGGGAGGCCCTCAGGCAAACACCAGAACCCCCTCTTCTTCCTCCTTGTCAACTCTTCCCTTTCCTCTCCTCTCTGCCCAAGTCAGACTTGGAGATCCCTTCAAGGTGCAGGTCAGAACCTCGGATACACCACAGCCTCCCACCACACACTGAGACCCATCAAGGATGCAGGTCAGCCCTAGGAGACACCGAACATTCAGAGCTCAGTCACCGAGTGCACTGGGTCACACGCTGTAATTACGCTTCCTGTCACTGAGCCAGACTTCACGTAGCCTCTGAAAGTACACACCGCAGTAGTTTGTAGAACCCTCGCTAATTCCAGAACATTTCCTTACCTATCAAACAAGCCCCCTACCCATGACGTGCCCTCCCCACATCCCCTCTGCAGCCCCTGGCAAGCACTAGCCTATTTTCTGTCTCTGTAAAACCCCCGTTGCCAACAAGCTGATTCCTATAGCGCCCCAAGAGGACAGAGTAGAACTGCCCCATAGGGTTTCCAAGGCTGTAATCTTTAAGGGGGAGCTCTGGTGGTGTAGTGCCTAAGGTATCTGACTGCCAACCGGAAGGCTGGTGGTTCAAACTCACCAGCCATTCCTCAGAAGGAAGACTGGGCAATCTACTTCCATAGAGATACTGCCTCAGAAACCCAAGGAGGGGTTGCTATGAGTTGGAATCAACTTGATGGCAGTGAGTTTGGTTTTGGTTATACTCTTTAAGGAAGCAGGCTGCCACATCCTTCTCCCACAGAACCGCCAGCCTCTCAGTTAGCAGGCGAGCCCTCAGCCATGGCATTCTGTCTCTGTCAGCCTATTCCGGTCATTTTATATACACTTGGAACCACACAGCGTGTGGTCTCTTGTGTCTGGCTTCTCTGACTTAGCATCATGCTTCCAGGTCCACCCGTGCTGTAGCATGGATCAGCATATTTCTTTTTCTGGCTGAATAACAGTCCGTTGTATGGCCAGACCACGTATGTTTATCGAGTCATCAGCCAGTGGGAATCCGGGTTGCATCCACTTTTCAGCCATTAGTGAATAATGTTGATATGAACACTCATGTAGAAGTTTTTGTGTGGACTTCTTCTCTTTGATGTTATACCAAACCAAACGAAACTCACTGCCGTCGAGTCAGGTCCGACTCATGCGACCCCTCCTTGGGTTTCCAAGGTAGTATTGCTACAGAAAGAGATTGTCCAACCTTCCTTCCGAGGAGTGGCTGGTGGGTTTGAACCGCCAACCTTCTGGTTAGCACTCAAATGCCTTAGGCACTACGCCACCAAAGCTCCTCCCATTGCGACCCTAGAGGACAGAACAGAACTGCCACATAGTTTCTAAGGCTGTATCTTTATGGAAGCAGACCGCCTCATCTTTCTCCCACAAACCAACTGGTGGGTTTGAACCACTGACCTTTTGGTTAGCAGCTGAGCACTTTAACTACTGTGCCACCAGGGCTCCTGTTGGCAGGCACCACCAAGTGGCGCGGTGCTTCTGTTTAACCTTCCGAGGCTCTGCCACACTGTTTTCCACAGCAACTGTGCTATTTCACATCCCCTCCAGCAGTGTCTGAGGGTTCTAATTTCTCCACACCCTCAACCAACGCCTGTCATTGTCTTTTTGACCACAGTTATCCTAGTGGGTGTTAAGGAGCCCTGGTAGCACAATGGTTAAGTGCTTGGCTGCTAACTGAAAGGTTGGTGGTTTGAATCCATGAGCCACTCCATGGGAGAAAGATATGGCAGTCTGCTTTCATAAAGCCTTGGAGACCCTGTGGGCAGTTCCACTCTGTCCTCTAGGGGCGCTGTGGGTCAGAATGGACTCCAGGGCAGTGGGTGTGGTTTGGGCTTTGCTTCTGTGAAGATTGACAGCCTTGGAGACCCTGTGGGGGCAGTTGCACTCTGTCCCCTAGGGGCGCTGTGGGTCAGAATTCACTCTGCAGCAGGATTTTTGGTTAGCGGGTATGAAGCGGCATCTCCTAGTGTCCTGACTTGTTTCTCAAGTGACAGGTGAGGAAGAGCCTCTTTTCATGTGTAAACGCCTCTTGATGCATCTCTTTCTTTCCCTTCTCACTGACATCATCCCATCCTGCTCCCACAACTCCAGCTGGAAACTGTTCTCTCCTTTTTGCTACTGCTCACAATGTGTAAAGTTCACACTGTTATCACTCTCTCTTCTCGTCCATTCCACATGCCAGTGCAGGATTAGTTTTCATAAAGCTAACTTTTGCGCATACACACGCTTAAAGATAACTGGCACTTGGAAAGCAAAGTTCAGAGTTGTTTAATGAATAGTTAATTTACTGAAAACGTATTACTATAACTCAATCAAACTTACATGAGCTCCTCCTTCGGTGCTGCCCGGGCCAGGTCTTCCTGTTCCTTCATCGTATCTGCAGCTTGGGCTTGTTTTTCCATTTCATTAAAGCTTTTACTCGCCAGCTTCTGGGCTCCCAGACTTCCTTTTTTGGCCCCAAGCTAGAAGACACACAAGCTGCTTGTAACACCGTGGACATTTATTGTGGTTTAGTGAGTACCTGGCATGTGACGAGTACGTCACGTGGGTTCTCTAGCTTGGCCTCACAACTCTGTGAAGTTCATACTGTTATCACCCCCAGTTTACAGATGAGGGGACTGACGCCCACAGCAAGTCAAGATCACACTGTCAGGAAATGGCAAACCCAAGCCATGCACTTGAACTCATCTCTGTATTTGAAAGCTTGCCAGGCTAGCCGTTAAGCCTCACAAAATGTTACACATACAGAGACATAAACACAGGTGGGTCTCCCTGGCAGCCTTTGTTAAATTTTTTAGTGTTCTGTCATAATTAAGAAACGTTAAACACATTGTGTGTAGAAGACACTCACTAAGAAGGAAGTCACCGCGGTAAACAAAGTCTAACTCCCTCAAAGGTACACTGACTGCAACCCAGCTCCAAAGGGAAAACACAGACAAACAGAGACCGTGGCAAAGGCGGCTTCTGGAGCCCAAGCACTTCCCACGGACACAACTGACGTCTGACACACAGCACTCACCCCCTTTTTAGCTTGATTCGGTTTCTTTTTAATGATAGAAGAAACTTCTGCCAAAAAACAGAAATAAAACGTCAGACCAGTAGAAATCAGAGAGAATGATTCTATGTCTCGCGTACTCTTAATGCGCTCTAAGACGCTGTGCATCACTGTTTCAGAGACTACCATTTCCCACACTCGGTTGTCATCTAGAAGACTCAAGTCCCCGAGTGTGTTCTAGCTCCGTGGAACTTCCTCGGGACACAGGACACAGACACTCTCGGGCTCTAACTCCACAAAGTGTCCCCGCTCGGAGAGGGCATGGCCTTTGACCTCCAGAGACAGCAAGGTGGGGAGCCCCAGTTTGCACTTTGGTCCTTTCTTCAGGGACGTTTTTTACATACAGTAAAACCAACTTGCCAGGTAACAGTATTTTACGATATCAGCTCTCCAGGCATTTAAGGGTACAACGAAAGCCATTCATGATGTGCTTCTTCACCTTGACGGACAGACAGATTTGAGCTTAATAACCCATAAGAAATACAAAGCTTTCTATTATTTTAGCAGCAGCAGTTTACAAACTGCACACAGACATGATGCTTGTAGAGAAAATTCCTTAAAAATCATTTTCTGGGTGAATTTTCATCATAAAATCTGTTCTGATTATAGAATTATGTTTAAGAGACCCAGCAAAAATAAAATCTTCCTTTTTTTTTTCACAAAGGAGAGAAGATGGCATATACCACAGCCCTGATGATAGAGCATCATTGTGACATTTCAAGTGTGGAAAGGGTGTCCCCCTAAATTTCCTTTCTGACACCCTTCTAGATCTGCACTGTAGTGGTTACATGACCTGCTCCCAACTCCCTACAAGTCTGCTGCATGATGAGTACATCCGGAACATTCCTAATCGCTTTGTTAATTTCACCAAGGCAGTAGCTTTCCAACTAATGCAAGCTAGTAAGTGCCAGCTCCCTGATAGTGAAAAATTAAAGACTCAGTTCCCTTCTTGTAAAATCAGATAGAAACGAGAACAGAAAGCACTCCTGAGTAAACAGGAAAGGTGAGCGCCCTCTGGCCTCCACTGTGATGCTGGGAACGTAACAGTGAATCAGAGGCATCAACATTAACAGATCCAGTCACGATGCCGCATAAAATACGAGACGCACATGCGGAAGGCACAGATGCGGCTCGATCTCGGCCATGGACCTGACGCTCTAGATGGGACACCTTCATTACCTGACGCAGCCTTGGTCGGTGCATTCAGACCTTCCACGCTCGGTCCCTGAGGTCCGTCTGCAAGGGAAGCACAGGGATGTGAACCCAGGCGCTGGAGTCAGCTCCTCATTTCTGAAGAAGCAACGCGCAACACGGCTTGCTCAACCCACACATCTCATCCAGTCCTGTCAACGGGCACCATTCCTTTCAGCTCCGTATTAAAATCTATCATTAGGGGTCTGAGTTAAAAGTTCACTGCAATCACTGACAACAGCAACTCAAAAGGTCAGACAGGAGCTTAGGGGGCAGGGAGTTTCTGTCCGAGGAGAGGGGACAGTTCAGAAAAGGAGGGTGAGGCAGGTGTGCCACTCAAAGCCCCACATGAGTGTCACTGACTGCACATGTAGGACCTGCTCGACGGGTGCGTGGTTTGCTGTTTATTCTCCACAACCACAAAATTAAAATCTTTTTAAAGTCCATCAAGATACAAGCGTATTTTTTATCCAGGGGTCTAAGAGAACAAAAATGAAATTGGTCTCTCTACTCAACGGAATCTGTAATTCCTCCTTACGCCCCCCCAGTGTTCTGAAGTGCCTGCTCTGCGACGTGGAGTTCCCATGGGGGCTATAACCCAGTGTATGTCACTATGTGGAAATTCTAACAAACCAAGGAAAAAATCTAAACCTCACTGCCATCAAGCCAATTCCGACCTACAGGACAGAGTAGAACCGCCCCAGAAGGTTCGAAAGGCTGTCAGTCTTTCCTGAAGCAGACTGGCTCACCTTGCTCCCACGGAGCTGCTGGTGGGTTCAAACCGCCAGCCTTCTGGTTTGCAGCCAGAGCTTCAACCACTGTGCACCACAGCTCCTCTGATAGGCTCACCATGAGCCAGAACCAACTCGATGGCAGTGTGTGTGTGTGTGTGTGTGTTCTGGGTGAAAGTTTACAGAGCAAATTCATTTTCCGCACAGCAGTTCCCACACGTTTTGTTTCATGACATTGACTGCAGTTCCCCACGATGTAACAGCTCTCGTCCAGGTCCTCCCTGTAGTCACCTCTTCCCTGTGGCCTTCTTTCCTGTGCACTCCTGCCCCCCGAGCTGTCTCCCTGTGCAAACACTGCCCTTCTGTTCTCTCATGGTTGATCATTCGAAGCAGCGTATCTACCTGATGCAAATGTTCATCTCATATGCCTGGCTGTTGTTTGGCTGGAAGCCACAGGAATGAGTTCAGTTCTAGATCTGAAGGGTAACTAGGGGCCATAGTCTCAGGGGTCTCACGAGGCTCTATCAGACCAGCAAACCTGGTCTTTTTATTATTATTATTATTGAGTCTTATTCCACATTGTTCAGGATCCCCCACTCTGTTCACGATCTCCTATACCAATCTCAACAGTGGGTTTTTATGCCAAGGATAGAGACCTAAATTTTCAGTTGCCCAGAAATCTGCCCTGTTTTCTAGTTTACCAAGGAAATGATCCTGGTCAGGAATTTTATTTAGACTTTGTATTAAAAAATATATATATATATTTTTATTGGTATTTTAAACATTAACTTTATTAATGCATAATTTGATAAGTTCTGAAAAACATATTATCCACATAGCCAATCAAGATACAGACATCTCCGTCACCTCCAAAAGCTCCCTCGTGCCTCTTTGCAGTCGCCCCTCCTCACCCCGACTCCAGGCCCCAGCCACCAGCGGCCTGCTTTCTGTCCCAGTGGGTGAGTCTGCGCCCCAGGAGGCACTCTGTCTGTGTGGCTCCTTGGAGTCGGCAGGGGGTTTCTGAGGTTCCCGTCGTCAGGGGTGTCAGCGTTCACCTCCCCGTAGAGCAGGATCCCAGCGTGTGGACACACCACTGTCTGCTCGGCCATGACCTGGTTCATTCACTTTTGTGTTGTGTCCAGTTTGGGGCTATTATGACTAAAGTCACAATGGACAACTGGGAACATGTCCCTTTTTGGACCTACGTTCACGTCTCTTGAATAAAGACACAGGAATGGAATTGCCAGGTTAGGCAGTGAATGAATGTTTAAGAATGTTTTAAGAAACTGTCACCCCGTTTTCCAAAGTGGTTGCACTCTTATACTCCCAGCAGCAGTGCAGGAGAATCCCAGATGCCCCATAACCTCATCAACACTTAGTACTGTCGGTCCCCAAATTTAGCTTTTCTCGAGTCCCTGGGTGGTACAAAAGGAGAAGAGCTCAAATGCGCTGAAAGGTTGGCGGCTCGAAACCACCCAGAGCTGCCTCAGGAGACAGGCTGGTGACCTGTTCTGAAGGGTCACAGCCCTGAGAGCCCTTGGGCGCAGTTCTACCGGGCAGCACAGGGGGCAGAGGCAGGATCGACCCGGCGACCAACAGCAGCAACGGAAGTGCCGTGATCATCTCGGGGGGGTTTTGCTTCGCACCTCCCATGAGAACGTGTTTTTTAGGCACCCGTGATCTTTGGTTAAAGCCTCGTCCACTGTCAACCGAGTTGCAGTCTTCCTACTGCTCAGCTCCCAGAGTGTTTTTTCATATCCTCTGGATACAAGGTCTTCCTTCCTCCTACAAACGCTGTCAGCATCCCCGTTTCAGCGGCTTACAAGCCCCTGGGTGTGCACAGGGATTACCTGCCACGGGCCAGGATCGACTCTGGGACCCGGGACGGGACGTCAGGGAACAAGAGCACACAGTCTGGACACTTTGGTTCCAGGTTCCATTGTGAAGATAACCCTTCCTCTCGTCCTCCTGCTGTCACCCAGAGCTAACACAGGAAATCGGGCTGCCCCGCCCCCTTTTCAGCCTGGAGACAACAGGTGTCCCCAGCCAGCAGCTGCTGAGAGAAATGCTGATGGGAGACGGAGGAAGGGGCTACCACAGGTGCTCGGGGACAGGGATTCTGCGGTGAAAGCCTTTCCGGGAAACTCATCTGTTAAAAGTGTAGATTGAAAAATGTTTACAAGAGTAACATTTTGTTCTGTCTTTAGTTACCTTGTTGTTGTTGTTAGGTGCTGTCGGGTGGCTCAGACTCAGCGATCCTACACAAACCAGAACAGAACACTGCCCAGCCGTGTCCCGCGCCCACAATCCTTGCCACGCTGGAGCCCACCCCGGCAGCCACAGCGGCGATCCATCTCCTTGAGGGTCTTCCTCTTCTCTGCAGACCCTCTGCTTTACCAGGAGACTGGCCCCTCCTGACATGTCCAAACAGGTGAGACCGAGTCTTGACCTCCTTGCTTCTAAGGAGCATTCCGGCTGCACTCCTTCTGAGACAGATGTGTTCGTTCTTCCGGCAGTCCACGGCATATTCAGTATTCTTCGCCAACACCTTATTTCAGAGACATCAATTCTTCCTCGGTCTTCCTCGTTCATTGTCCAGCTTCCGCATGCCATCTTATCTTAGGTCTGTGCTAGTGCACCAAACCAAGACATCCGGCCTCTAAGGGGTAAATGTGTCTCCTGCGACACGTGCCCTTCAACATCAAAAGGCCTTTTATGCTGTTAAGTTGTCACAGGAACAAGTCCAACTACCTTCTGCACTTTTATAAGACACATAACCCAGGTCACTGTAGTATGATTCTGAGAAACCAGAATGCTAATGTCCAGTTAGAAGCGTGTCTGACTTCTCTGGAGGCGTGAAGGTCATGTGCGTATAAAGTCACTGGCTGGGACTCAGACAGAGAAACAGGAGTCAGAGTTCTTGGCCTCTGAAGGAAACAAGCCTTTTGTTGGTACGTGAACTGCACGCTACCGGCACACAGATGCTGACTCCCCTTTTCCTTTGATGAGGCTCAAGTCTGTACAGGAGGCCCCTCCCTCCTCCAGGAGTAAGAGAAGCTCACCGTGTTCTCTTCCTGGATGTAACACATGTCTTAGACTGAGATCTCTGGTTCCCTGCACTTAGCTCTGTGTGAGGAGGGGGCCGGGCTGTTTTATTACTTTGCTAAAGGCTAGACATGGCAGCCCCAGATCCTTTACTGAATGACCCGCCATTTCCGCAGTCGAAACGCCGCTGGCCTGACAGATCTTCTCCTACAGCAGTAAAATAA